AGCAAGGTTTTCCTCAAAAAGCAGCTCTAAGACAAAACGTCAACCAAATATAACATGTGGGCCTTCTTTGGATACTAATTCTAATAAACCAAATGTATAAAACATTTTAGATAAGAGAAACTTGTACTCTTTTTTTTTTTTTTGGCAGGCGGTGGCACCACTGAACTAATTCCCGGGCCTAGATAAGAGAAACTTAACAGTGAGAAGATATTAAATTTTTTTTTTCCAGTTTCTTTTTGTTTTTAATAGGAGATGAGAACGTCTTTATTGACAAGGGAAAAATAAGCTTTGCTGGTCACTTGCAGGACGAGGTCAGTAGGTGAGCACCTCCACTAGCTCATCATCACTCTCCCTATAACTGGCTGATTCTGCAGGCTTGGCCTCTTTGCTGGGGTTCCACCCGGGCTCTGGATCTTCCACTCTGGCTCTTCTGTGCCTGACGCAGAGGGCGATGATGACAGGTATCAGTATCCATAACCAGGGCTGCTAATACCCCGATGATCCAGTTGTATATATACACGTCTTCAAGAACATGTTCTCTGGACATCCGAGGCGTCTGCTGTCCCTTCTACTTGCCATAGGCTTTTGTCCCCTCCATGACCATGGGGTCAGAATACAGCTGCTGCTGCTCCCACTGGGCCTGGGACACCGTGGCCTCCCGCTGCTCAGTCAAAAGCATCAGCAGGTGGCGAGACTTGGAGATGAGCTTGGCACAGGCGGGGGGGGCGCGGGGGGCTCAGCGCAGTCCATTTTCAAAATGCTGATGAGCTGGGCGATGAGCCATCTCACGCTGTCGTCAGGGACGAGCGGCTGCAGCAAGTGATTCAGCTGTGTTTCTATCCCGACCCCCAGGGACGGCAGCCCTGGGGAGGTGATGTGTGTGGGGGCCAAGGCCGAGCCCAAGGCAGAGTCTGCAGCAGACACACGCAGGTCCCCTGGTGCTGACAGGAAGCCTCCTGGAGGGGAGTCCATGAAGCTCCTCACTGCCTAGAACCCAGGCCTCTTTGCTGGGCTCAGGCCGGTGCATGCATTTCCCTTGGTGAGCTGTGCCCTCGGGTTGGCCTGGGCTGTTTTGAGGGACACAGGGAAGAGAGTTTCAGCCAAGCGACGACTCTTTTGTGACTGCCAGGCAGATGGAGTTGCCTTCATTCTTAGCACTCTGTCCTGCCTGTGGTTTAGAAACCGTATGCTGTGGGTGAAGTCTTTCACTCTGCTTCTTACCACAGGCTGGGCTCTGGCAGGGGTGGAGGTGGGGGACCTGCCCAGCCAGGGAGCTGGCAGGGAGGAAGGGGTGGCTACCCTCTGTCCTTCTGTGAGGATGGAGAATCTCTCCAGGTTCCTGGGGCTGGGGGCCCCCATGACGCTGCTCCAGCTCCGTGGCACTGGGGTCCCCGAGGCTGCTTGGGCAAGGGGCCAGGTGACCTGCCTGTCCCTGACCTGCTGCTTCCTCCTGTCCTGCAGCAGCCTTTTATCTGTGCCCTTCAGGCCCCTGAGGCCCCTGTCCACTGTGTGCAGCCTTCTTCCTCTCAGGTTCTCTGCCATGCTGTTTTCCTGTGTTGGAGCCCTTCCCAGTGTTCTAG